TCAGGAAGACTCGGATTCCACGCTGTGAGGTCCGCCAGCGCACCGGCAGGTGCCAGTGGAACACTGTGCTCAAGTGTTGACATGAATTGAAGTTCCACAAGTTTTGGCTGCAGCCTCTCCCACACAGCATTCGCCAAACTCGACACCATGTTCTCAATTGAAGATCGAGCTGAACTGTTGCTCGGCAGTGCAGCACCACCACCTAGGAATGTCTGAAAGCATTCCCCAACAGCCATCTCACATGCCGTCATCATCGGAAGTGTTGGGTTTGCTGGCGCCGGCGGAGGAAAGGCAGGTTGAACTGGATGTGTTGCTGCCAGACGTGCATCCCTTGGATGTAACGGACGAGACTTGGGCGGATCTTTCGGTTCCGGCACACCCTCTGGAGAATCAACCTCAACCACTGACACTGGCGGCTTTGGCGGCTTTGCAGCCGGCTTTTTCGGCTTTGCAGGCATGCTTTTCGTAAGAGGTGCTGGCTTTGTTTTTGCCGTTGCCCCTACTTCTGCTGATGCCAATTTTTTTGCTGGCGGTCTTGCTTTTGGTGGTGCTCCTGCTTTTGGTCCTGCCCCTGGCTCGTCTGTTGATGCTGTTGCGCTGGCTTTTGTTTTTTTTGCTGGTGATGCTTTTGGATCATTGGTCCACTCTGGAGCGGGCACTGGTGGCCTGGCAAAAGCCGGAGTAGCAGAACTGGAGGATGCAGGATCACCACCCCCTCTTGTGGCGTCATCGACATCTGTCTCCGGGATCTCAAGCGGAGCAGTTCGTGCTCTTTTGGCATCTGGCAGCACCTCAAATGCTTTGCATTGAAGACGACACACACACACACACTCAATTGAGGATGTCAATTGTGACTGAAATGTTATTATTTATTCTTGAAGCTGAAGCGAAAATGTAGTGTTGCTCCCAGCTGCTGCTGCTGCAGCAGTTCCTCTTGACTTCGTCTTCTGATTTCGCTTCTGAAGCTTCTGAAATGTCGTGGCAGGTAGGTCCACGGGATGTTCCTGCTTGTCCTTCTCCATTCTTGTTTTCAAGTTCCTGAGTCAAAGTGGTACGTGTTGGCACTACAGGGCAGACTGCAAATCAAATCAATGCGGAATTCGAGTCCAGGCACATCTGAATGGAAGCCCAATCAGTCTGATTTGCAAATTGGTCGGTCCATGTGGTCCAAGCATTTTGCAATGCTGCCTTCCATTGATCCGACGACCAACCAATGGACGGCAGGAGATGCTTCTGCTTCCTGATGCACACTTTGGCAGAACCATGGATTGCATTTAAATATTTACATATTACAACCTCAAAACAACATTCGAAAATCTGAAGCTGCTCAGCGACACGTGATGGCCATTGGCGAAGTCGATAATGTGCTGTTGATCGGCAGCGATGGCTCTGTAATCTTCCTTTCTGTGCCTCTGGACTAAAGTGTCGAACCATGCGACGCATTCGATGCCACAGACCTGCACTGACAGCTGATATACTTACAAAAACTAGACAATTGAGTGTCACCTGGACCAATGAGTCAGTTCAGCACAGCGACTTGGAAGAGAGCCATGACCAACGCAATCATGGCACACGTCCTGTGCCATCCCGCCGAACAGCAGATCCTGACAATTGAAGGACCACATAGGAGGGTTATAATTATCCTAGTCCCTGAACCTAAAAAAAACCTCCAAGACCTTCAGCATTCAAAGACTCGAGAAGCCTGAGCAACTTGTCGGGAAAATTGAGGATGAAGTGGAGCGTCTTGAGCGCTGCGGGATGACTATACACCTCGGTCATTAGGGTGAATTCTTATTAAAATTAAAATTAATTATTATACAACTCGATTCATGAAGCAACACCTGTTCGACCAGGCACCTGTTCCATGATATGCTGGTATAGGCCACATTCTCTGCCAAACCTTCCTCCTTCGGCCTCCCTTGGCTTCCATCCATGACTGTCACTGTCACTGCCCTCAATTGTCAATTGAGTGAAACTGAAATGAATGAAAAATGTACAAATGTCATGAAGCTTCGACACGTGCATTGACTGCTGCAAGCGAACCTCCCATTTGTTAGAAAAGTTACATTCCCTGTCCAACCTCTCCAACAAGTCTGCCATCTGAGGTGATGGACGATTTCCATGGTGGGCAACCCCATAACCAACGATCACCACTCTCTTCGGCCAAACGTAGGTTCTGCCGCCCAGGAAAACTGACCTCGAAGTGTTGGAGCAGAAAGCAGTTGCCGAAGAGCTCGGGTTGTCAATAGAGCTCACATCGTCATCAGTAGCATCAATAGCCGGTTCGTGGTCTCTTGTTTCTCTCGGGGTCCTTCCACTTGCGTCCCCAATCGTCCGAGTCGTCTTCTTCTTTGCCCCGCCCCAAGTCACCGGAACTTTTCGTTGAGGCGTCTGCGGCTTTCTTGCTGGCGTAGTTCCCGACATCGAATTGGCTGTATACTATCCCCAAGCTTTGATTGTGCCTCGAATGAACACGGAATTGTAATGATGAAAGCTTAAGCGCCAAAAAAAAGGGCTGCATCAATCTTTGCCAAAGTGCTCTCTAACGTTCTTGTTACAGGCTGACAGAATCCAGGCTTCTGGTTTCTGGATGCCGTCTCTTCCCCGTTTGAAAGATCTCCTCAAATGTTGTTGCATTGAAACAATGACATGTCAGGTAGCAAATTATTCTCAATTGGAAATTGTCTGAAATGTACTGCAGGTGTCACAAGATCACCAGCCTTTCTCGGGCAGAGCAAATAGAGCAAGTAGATTGCTTGCTGTGCTTTCCGGAGATCCTGGCCCTGCTCCTCGAGACACAATTCCTCAGGGAGATGCTGGAGGGCCACACTCGACATAGCACAACTTGAGCCAGAACTGCAGCATTAGGTTACAAGGGGCTCACAATCAATCACCAAGCAAGCTGACACACACACACACACACACACACTCACTGAGCCTTCCGCGCAAATATCACTCACATGCCTTCTGAAACGACTTCACCTGGCAAAATGCAAATTTCATGCCAGCCCTGCCCCCCCCCCGGCTCTGTCAAAACATGCCAGGCAGACCACTTGAGCCAGAACTGCAGCATTAGGTTACAAGGGGCTCACAATCAATCACCAAGCAAGCTGACACACACACACACACACACACACTCACTGAGCCTTCCGCGCAAATATCACTCACATGCCTTCTGAAACGACTTCACCTGGCAAAATGCAAATTTCATGCCAGCCCTGCCCCCCCCCCGGCTCTGTCAAAACATGCCAGGCAGACCTTGCCATTGATGCTACCACAATAGTTATACTACCGCAAATCATGCTACCACAATTAGCGCTACCACAATTGTTGCTACCACAATTGACAAATTGATGCTACCAGAACTGATGCTACCAGAATTGATGCCACTGCAAAATCGAATCAACCAAGCCAAGCAATGCCATGCTGACTACCACAGTTGCTGCTACCAGAACTGATGGTATCAGAATTGATGCCACCGCAAAATCGAATCAGATGCCACCGCAACAATCGAAGCAATCAAGCCATGCAATGCCATGCTGACTACCACCATTGACATTGATTGATGCTACCAGAATTGATGCCACTGCAGCATCGAATCAACCAAGCCAAGCAATGCCATGCTGACTACCACAATTGATTGATGCTACCAGAATTGATGCCACTGCAGAATCGAATCAACCAAGCCAAGCAATGCCATGCCGACACAGTAACGGCCTCCCCAGCGTCTTTGCAAACACGAGTGTGCTCTGACAGTCATGCGGACTGGAGACTTCTTTAAATGCCACCCCCATTCGGCCAAGATGGGGTCACCCTGCTGAGTATGCGCCGTCTTTGCCCTATGCGGAGCGCTGAAATCCGATTGCCTTGCATACCGGCCCGCAAGAGGACAGGTCATGCTCGTCATCGAGTGCACCGGAATCGCTGCGCAACGCGCCGGTTACTGAAGACCTGTCAATGAGGCACAGCATAAGATGCCATGCGGGGCCATGCCGGCAAGCAGCAGTGATCGAAGTTAATATTTCGACCGTGGTGTGGGTACGTGGCATAGTATTTATTAATAGTAGCGAGGCCTTCCCTGCAATCTGTGTGCATTTCACCCCGCGGCGGACACACCACCTGGCTGGACAGGCGAGCAGCACACAGAGTAAATCCCCAGCGCCCGGCCAGCGACGCTGTCCCGCACGGATCAAGGACCCATTGCTCACGTGGTCCGAGCCCGACTGGAGCGGTCTCTAAGACCACTCTGAGCTTGGGCGTGCAGGATGGGTAGGGCGAGTCGAACCAAGCCAAGCAAGCCAAGCAAGCCAAGCAAGCCAACCAAGCAACCAAGCCAACCAAGCAGTGGCACGTGACAAAGGACCACGTTTCAGCTTCCAACACATCCGGCTTGGACAGAAGCGAACACCATCGCTCAATACATCCGGCTTGGACAAATGCAAAAATGTTTGGCAAAAAAGGGTTTCCTCACGCTGGCTTCCCAGTGTGCTTTAAAATGTTTTGGTCAACGGCCGTGCCCCCGGCACTGAAATTCCTAATAAAATACATAAATAAGCTAATACTACAACAGCTTGAAACCTTAAATCGGTATATTGAACTGCACTATTGAGGAAATTGGTTTTGGCCTTCAAACCCCCCTGATCCAGCCCCCAAGGATCCAACCCTCAAAACGAGTGTGTGGAATGTATATACCTGCTATATATATGCATAAACATATATATATATATATATATATGCGTGCATATGTATGTGTATGTGTATGTGTATGTGTGTGTATGTATGTATGTATGTATGTATGTATGTATATATCTGGGTATGCAGGAATGTATGTATGAACATGCGTCGCCTAAGTAACTATGTAATTATGCATGTCTCTATGTGTGCGTATATGTGCCTTTGCACATGCATACTTTCATATACACGCCGCTTCTGCTAAACGCACATGTACGTACGGTTGTATGTATGCATGTATGCATACATATGTACACACACACACGCCCTCAATGCGTGTGTTTTGTGAATGGTTTCGCCAATCCCGGCCCGCCTACATGGCCACGGAAGGCGTGAACGTACTTGCCAGTCCGGCCGTCCCAAAGTCTCAGGGCGATTCAAGGACGGACCAAGGGGCCAGGATTGGGACGATGCTTGCAAGGGTACAGCGTCTACAGCTTCAGATATTTCGACAGCTGCGTTGGCTGGGGGCTTATCACCAGCAGTGCGAAGACGACTCGAATTGGTCGGACCAGCCAAGCGATGCACAGGCCTTCTAGGGTCACCTGAAGCTCGAATCCATCAAGATGACCCAAAGATGCAAACATGCTCGGTGCCTCACAGACTTGTCAAAGGACGCGGATGCAAACCATCGACCGTCTGGAGAGAAGGCGACCTGGTTCCTGAGTCCCAGAGCTGGAGCGCGATGCACAGGCTGAAGGGCAAGCCGGAGTGCCCTGAACCACCAGACAGCAATCTGGGATGCTTAGTATTAAGGCATCATACCCAATTCTCGAACAGTTGAGACCTGGCACACAATCTTCTGGTGCCCTGTCATCCGGCACACCGGGGTCTTGGAGACCTCGCAGGTCAGGCTGTACCAATTTCAACTAACGGTGTGGAGGATCCCGCTGCAGTGAGTGAGCACTCAGGAGAAGCATTCCTTTAGCTTTGGCAAAGCCGCCAGCGGCCGCCACAAGAAAAGCGTGAAGTCATCGGAGCCCGACAGCAAACGCTCGCCACCACACAGCTCCACCTGGTGTTTTGCTCTCACAGGCAAGTGCACGTGAGCCAAACTTGCAGGCGGGAGACAACTGCATCCAGAAATTTGCAAGGAATCCCGAGATAGGGGTGTTACAAGCCATTTGTCCATCTGTAGCACTTCATGAAATGTCTCCCTCGCGAAATACCAATCGGCACTGCGCGCCCGTGCCCGCTGATTCGTACAAGTCTCAGAACAATGATTCAGGGCCGTGCCCCAGTCATGTTGTCACGCTAAGCGTCCATGGATTCGGTTGACAACTTGCCTTCTCTCTCTCTCTCTCTCTCTCTCTCTCTCCTGATATCTCCGGACTCAGGATCCTCTACAACCACAACCTCACAGCTGCTGAGCTGAGCAGCAGCTTCCGCATAGCGCTTCTTTGCCGCCTCCTTTCTGGCTTTGGCAAGTATCAGATGGAAAGTTCGCACTCGGATGCTGGCTATATCCACGTCATGCAAACACAGGAGCACCTTCTTCTCCGACAAATCCGCGAACTTCTGCGGCTCATGTGAAAATGGACCAGACCGGATGACGTAGTCCTCACGACGAGCTTCGAGGGACTGGCGTGCGAGGACGAGCAAACATCGACAAGGGTTAGCGCTTCCAACAGCCCTTGTGAAGTCTGCTGCGGCATGGCGCCGAAACAACGCAGAGTCTTGAACGAGGCAGCCCAATAGCTGAGCAAATAACTCTGTTGCCACCCATGCCCCAGCATGTCCGTGTTAAGCGCGAGTGTGTTGATCCAGTGTCCGTGGCCCTTCAGCTCGTTCCTCGGCTGCTGGTGCTGCACTTCTGTGCTGAAATGGTCCTGTTTCTCTTCTGCCGGGCAAGAAATGTCCTGTTGCAGCTTGAGGATGATCAGGCATGCTGACCAAGCGTCTTTCGGAAACCACACCAGACCCCAAAAAGATGCATGGACGACTTGACTCGAACAAGATGGGCAACTCAGCTCACATGCAGTACCGGGCCAGGCTTCAGCATGCCTCCGTCCTTCGGATTCCAGACCTTGATTACAGTGTCCCGGCCGGCTGTGTACACAACGCCACCAATGTCAGCACGCTCACCAGACCATTTCACCTCACACTCCAGAACTCCGGCACCCAAACTTACAGCAACAGCCCGGGCTGCGTACACCCCTCATGACACGGTTCCTCTCACCTCACACTGAAAGGCGCTATGGCAAATGTGGGATCGTCTGACGGCAAGCCGCCTGCATCACAGGCTGGGAGTGGGAAGTCAGGCTTCGCAGGCACACGCCCACGCTCACGTCCCACAGGCGCACGGTGGCATCCTTGGAGCTCGTCGCAAGCCTCAGAACATCTTGGCTGAAAAGTCTCCACCAAATGTTCTCATTGTTCTCAAGTCACATCCCGTAGTTCTGAAGTCGCAAGCTATTAATTAGAAACTCCTAGACATGGAGTCTTTAATTGTGTCTCAGGCTTCCCAACCCCACACAGACCCTACCACGAACGACAACGTTATAGAACGATTTCGCTTGCGCTTAGACTTCTTCTACTTGCCGCATTTAAACAAGACTGTCCTGTCCTGTGGGCGCCAAGTGTCCAGGGGAAGCTCTCCGCCACGTGCAACGGCTGCCAGCAAGCGGAAGTGACCGGTTGTTGGTGGCCCTTCCTCTGCTTGAAGGCTGAAGATAGAATCTCAGAGGACAGTGTGGCAACATGACATTTTCACAGTTTGTCTGCCTGGGTGCTACCGTATAAGTAATTATTACTTACTTGTGAGCAATTCCGTGCCAACACTCTCTGGATTTGGGGACACCGGCCAGCCACTGCCGTAAAGTCTCAAGGCTGCCAGGTTCTTCCCGGACTTCGCGCACCAAACGAGAACGATCTTGTCCATGCCTGCCTTGAGCAATCTGCAGAGAGTGGGACGCGCCTGCTCAGAGCCCCACTCCTTGGCCGGAGCCCAGAAATATCTTGAGTCCAGAATCCGAAGCGAGCTTGGAGCCATCAGGCGACCACGCAACGACCAGCACCCAGTTTTGATGACCTCGGCCGCTCATGGCCGGTCAGCCACAGTGGCCGCATGCCACAGGCTATGTATGAGGCCATTCATTCTTTCTTGTTACGCTGGCTAGCCTGGACTTGGAATTCCATGCTGCTGAGAGGCCTTTGCAGGTGTGCTTGGGCAGCTCTGTGTTGAGATCCCAGAGCCTGGCTACGTCAAGCCGGCAAGAACTGCTAACTCTTTCAGGCCATGCTGAGCTCAGCCTCACTGTGGAATCGCCAGAGCCACTTGCCAGCTTCGTGGAGTCCGGAGAGAAGGAAACGCAAAGAACCGCCTTCCAGAACACAAGCTCCTGTCGAAACGCACTGGGAGCTCCGGGGCCTCAATGTGCCCGCTGAGTGATGAAGTGCAGCGGGTGATGGGCCGGACGCGAAAGACTGCCAGAGGGTAGTACACGACCTCGGCGTCAAACGCAGTGTGCGATCTGCCTTCTCAGTGCCACAGCTAACCAAACGTCGTGTCGAGACCCATCTTGAAAAGTCCCGACCGTTTGCTTCTAATCTTGAACGCTTCGGCTTGACCGACATCAAGCTTCAGCTCGTAGCCAATTGCCCTCACGGAAACTCGGCATCATGCAATGCTGGGATGCTGGGCTTCTTGTCCAAACCCTCCAAGCTCGTCCTCGAACTAAGTCTCCTGCCTTTAACACTCTTTCCGTGGACTGCTGACCCTTTGCCAGCTTGTTGAAGGAGGCCGCAAGGTTCCTGAGGGGTTGCGGGGTCAAAGGTCTTCAAGACTATGCACCTCGGAAGTCTGCGCAAGTTATGAACGTGACTTCTGCAGCCCAGCGTCGTTGTGATCTCTGACTCTTCCAAGTGGAAGCTGTAAGGCATTTCTTCCTTCTTTGGCTGCGGAACAAATCTCTCGTGCATGCAGTATCCGTCGTCCACGTTTATTGGTTGTAGATACACATCATTTGATGAGACTCAAATACCGAGATGCAACAGTGCATGCACGGACTAAAGCAACGCCGAGTCAGAGTCCCACCGATGACACGCGCGCACACACAAACACCCTGTTTCTCTTTCGCCAGGGCTGGGGTGGGAGTTGCCCCCCCAACACACCCTCTTTCTCTCTATCTTTCTTTCTTTCTGCAGGGCGTAGGGGTCGTCAAGCGACCCTCAGGCCTTCGGCCCGCCCAGCCTCCCCACTGTGTTAGTGAGTGGCCGGCCTTGGGGTTTTTCCTGAAAGTGGCATCGAACTACCTGGTGTGCTCCCGGTTTTCATGTAGCAAGCCCCACCCTTTACACTAGGACCCCCCGCATCCCGGCCTCATCACCGCGCCCCCTGTGGCTAGCCAGAAACCATACCGTGGGGCTTGCTGCATTACATGACCACCGTGCTGCACGTTCGGCTGTTCAGGGCAACACTGGGAGCGACAAAAACAGCAGGTTAATGTAACATACATCGTAGCGTGGTGTTCCCCTGCTCCCTGTGGTCCCCCTTTGGGCTTACAAAAAAGGGCTGCTGTACGTCCCCACTCTTGCGTCGCTCTCCCCTGCAGTTGAGGTTTGAGCTGCCTGCCACGGGGCTGGTGGGAGCGAAGAACTGCCGTGGCATACCGGGACCCTATATATTCGCAATCTCTCCATGCGTGTTCTCCCCCGTGGCATGTGGCTTCTCGCAAGACTTATGTGACTCTCTCTATCTCTCTCTCTCTCGCTCCTTCCCTTTGCTCTGGGGCAAGGCTCTCTCTCTTGCTTGCATGCGGACAACGAGAGCGCGCAAGCACCCTCCCCCGCGCAGGCGCGCACCGAGGTCTTTGGTCTGCTGTTGCTCCCGACTCTCTCTCTCTCTCTCTCTCTCTCTCTCTCTCTCTCTCTCCTTCTGCCCTGATCTCTCTTTCTTTCTTTCTGCAGGGCGTAGGGTCGCGCGCGCCCCCCAGGCCTTAGGCCCGCCCAGCTCACCCCCTGTATTATGGAGTGGCTGGCAACGGGGTCTTTCCTGACTGCGGCAGTGAACTACGCAGTTTGTGCTTGGTTTCCATGCAGGCAGCCCGCTGATCTCTCTCTCTCTCTCTCTCTCTGCATTTACACTTGGTGTCAGCGTCCCACGAAGATCTAGGTCTACCCTGTTCGTGGACATCGGGTGTCACGCTGCATCTTGCATCCGTGTGCAGGCTGCGGCTCGGCATTGCTAATCCTACACAGTGTTAATCTGGAGCTGGGTCGCAGCATTCTCGAGCAGCTGGTTCAAAAGCCTCAGCTGATCTTGTGACTCGCCTTTGATAGCCTGCATATAATGAACTACAGCCAACAGAGCAGATCGAGCTTCTGTAATCTTGTCGTCTCCGAGAGAAGCCTATGACGGAGACCTCGCGCCGAGCCACGTGCCAAGCTGTTCCTTGGACGTGCCCAATGGCACATCCAGCTGTGGGCCAGCGGATTTCCTCAAGCTCGAGTCGAGAGGTAAGATTTCTATTGGTGCCCTGAATGACTTGCTGATAGCTTGCGGCAAGCAGATTCGGATACGGTTGTCGTGCCCAGGCTTCAGCTTGTAAAGAGAGACAGGTGGGTCCGGGGTAGCCGAGCCCCATGCCCTTCAGGGTCCACGAACTCTATCAAGGCTTGTCCTTGGGTGTCCACGAATTGGCCGCAGGGGGGTGGAGAGACAAGGTTCTGCGTGGGGCTGCACACGCTACAGTAGCCACAGTGAACCATGAACTTTCACAACGCTTCGATGGACAAGGCGAGGGGCCGTCGATCGCCAGAGTTGCTTGGGTGGCAGCTTTGAGTTTCGAAGCTGCCACCTTTAAAGATCGTGCGCAATTGGATATGTCGCGATATTGTGCACTCCCTGGTTCTGCAAGGAGCTCGTGCTGCAGCAAAACAGAACTCGGGCAAAAGCTGGGCCTCCTCCACTGCTTTTTTGTCGGCAACTCTCCTTTGATGCAGGAGCAAAGCCTTCCTGTGGGACTGCGAATGCCGAAAAAAGGGCAGCCAAGGGGCCTCTTCTTGTTTGGCCGAGCTGACATGGGAAGCGCTGGCTCACTCGCTGCCAAGGCGCCTCTATACTCTAAAGACGAAACTTTCGGAACCTTTCACTGTGCTGCTCCGGCTACCCGTAGCCAGTGACACTGTTCGGCGGACCATAGCTAGGATTCCTTTGATCGCTGCGAGGCCTTAACAGGCTCTGTACAGCCCAAACATGCTTCGGTGCTTCGGAAATCAAGATCGCTCAGCTACAAGTCAATTCACACAGCAGGGCGTATGCATGGCGTCTTCTGGCAAGTACATTGATTGGCACTCAGTCCAAGGTCCGAGTGTTGCCACTCATCCGTGGAAATCGGAAACAGGAGTTCTATACATAGTGTACACTTTTCAGCAGCGATGTTCGCATGGTTCTCCTCTGTACAAAGAAATTTGAGACCATCTTAACACCCTGCTCAACAGTGCAGTCCGGCTCCAAATGTTTACGGAGCCATAATCGAAAAGCAATCGGCTGAAGACACGGGCATATGGTAAGAATGTCTTCCATACTAGTCTAATCTAGGTGCTCTCATGTTGTTTTGGGAAAGCACGACTCGCCCAGCCCCAGCCCCAGCCCATGCCTCAGAACTCCACTATGCCGCAGCCGAGCCTGAAAAACAGGGGCTACACACCAGTGCCTGACATGATGCAGTCTTGAGTCTTGAGCTAACTTCCGCTGCTTGCTGCGAAAACGAAATTGCGGCGAGCTTCCAGTGTCACTCGGCGACAGGAACTCTGGCCAGCAACTCATCGAAGAGATCTTCAGGCCGGCGTGTCCGAGGGTTGATGTTCCTTGCTTAGCAACCACGCTACGAAAGCCGCTCTGTTGTACAACCAATTTGCCGCCAAGCATCACAACAGTGTTGCGGCGGACGATGGTGCGGGTGGGTCGAAGCTGCTGGCGTGTCTGGTTGAAGCTACTTCCTCAGTCTCACCGTGACAGCCCCTTTCTCGACGTCCAGGCATTTCAGTGTAGTGTCGATCTGTTGCCTTCTGTTGCTCTTACTACACGCATGTTCTGCGAACTTTGTCACACGCAAGAAGCTCGGATTTCCCTCCAGGGTCAAGTTGATGTAGACCGGCATCGCGGTTATCGGAAGACAGGTAAGATGCACTGCACTCGGGGCATGCTGTAGGTCATAGCATAGGTAAGCTATGAATGTGAATGTAGTGTTGCCCTGTGAACAGATCCACTAAGTGATTTTCCAGAAAGGCACCGGCGCTCCGTGCAAATTGGTAACATGATATTCTTGCAGCCATGGCACCGACAGGAAATGTGCGACTGACGACCTGAATACATCTATCTCGTCTTCGAGTTTTCACAGGAAAGCTCTGGCAAATTTGCGTCCAGCTCAAAGCCAAGGCGCATCCGGGTCTTCTTCCGGCCACCTTTCCGCAGCTATGGCAAAAGCAAGCTCCGCTGATGGTGGATCGTCCTTCGAAGTGAAGACCAAGTCCTGGTCCCAGCATGCGCAAACTGCAGCTGCCCACCCGAGACGATGCACTGAAGACTGCAGCTTCTGCAGTCAGCAGCTCTTCCGGTTCTAGCAAGTGCCACAAACGGTCCGTGGGCACTCACGAGCTCCGCAAATGCGGTGAAAAAGGACTTTGCCGTGAAGGCTTTGTTCCCCAACCTAGCAATTTTGCATAGATGCTTTCAAGGCGGCCATGCCATAGGTCGCCTGCAGTGCTTGGCACATTGCCGGAAGGCCTTGGACTGCGATCGATTTCCAGCAGGTGACTTTCGCACTTCACTTCTTCAAGTGGCATTAAGGCCCTAAGTCGTGGTGGCTGAACCGCAGCAGGGAGAAGCATTCAATCTAAAACCGATGCTTCGAACAGGTTCGAGGGTCGTGGATCCGGTGTAACCTGTTCCATGAGGCAGAACCACCGCACGGCCGACAATCTGGTTGCGGCTAAAGATGCATGCGGCACGTGCATCAGCATCCGTGGGCCCTTCTGAAGGCAAGAGCAGGTCCGCCTTGTGGCCTGGAAAAGATCGCCCTGCTCGGGGACTCGGGGTTCCTGTGCCTTCCACTCTCCACCAAAAAGAAAAGCAGACCAACGCAGGCCAAGCGACAAACCAACAACTTTGGCATCAGCCCAAACCTAACATGTGAAGTGTACAGTCTCGATGTGAGGGGAATCGACAGGGCTCCAAGTGCAAAGCAACAAACATGGATATTTTCGTCGAAGCTGGACGGGATGCAGCAATCATATATATATATATATATATAGTCATCTAGCAGTTGACTCCTTGCCTTGACCCCATGTACCCAGTACCTGCTCAAGCTGCAAGCTTCGCAACTTCGTTGGGCCGACTGTCTGCCGAAGCTCCTCGATGCACCATGCGGCTTTGGGCAGGGAGTCCTGCAATGCGCGCTTTCTGGGCATATTTCTGTGAGACGGCGGCAAATCCGCTCAACAAGCAGGAGCCGGGCACTTCTCGGATCAGTCATGGCTTGTTCTATGACAACTAAGACAGGCGCAGCCGTTCGGCATTCTATCGAGCCTGTAAAGCTGAAGCCGACGCCCCTCGAGCAGAAAAGGGTCCTCCATCCGGCCCGCATCGAAAACGAAGAGTGCAGCTGTGTGGCCGCTGTACAGGGCTGCTGACAAGGGGGTGCCTCTCACCTTCAGGGCTGCGAACATAGTCGGACAGTAGTGCGAGATGCTCTGGTGAGCATCCACATCAGAAGTAAGCGGACAACTGACTCCATATCGGTTCTGTTTTGGTCTGTAAGAGTCAGACCACGACTCACGCAAAGCCCGCATACCTCACCCGTGAGCCCACCGTGCTTCGCTTGTCCACGACTGACACCGGTAGCAGCACGTTTTCAAGCTCTGCCGCGAAGCTGTACCTC